CCAGTGGCATGTCCTCTAGATGGTGGTAAGACGCTTTGCAATTTCTTTATCATCTGGTCAAGCTCCATTAATTTGTCCATGTCGCGTGATTGTTTCAAAAACCTCTCCAACATTAGAAACGCTGTAGAACTCATATATCTTCCTCTCTCCAATGTTTGTTTGGAGCACAAAAAAGCCTCGTGAACCAAACCCCTTGAGCATAATGCAGTTACCAAAAGATCTAAAGCATGAGCATGAGGACAATGCCCTTTCTCCACAAGGTAATTCCATAAACTTAAACTCAAATCGAGCTGACGATTTTGACAAAAATATTTCATCAGCATCACAGCCGTCCTTGTTTTCGGAACAAATTTTCTCTGCGTCATCTTCAAATAAAGTTCAGACACACCTTCAATCCCTCTTGACCTCATTAATCCTAAAAACATTGTATGATAAGTTACACCATCCGGCTCAATTTGTTTTTCAATCATCTCATCCATCAACGAAAGCGCAGACACAGCATCTTTATTTCTAACCAATGTCGTAATTAAAGCATTATAAGCACAAGAATCAACAACCAAGTTTCTCAAAGGAATCTCATTAAACAACTGCCACGCCTTGCCCGTGTTTTGAACCAATCCTGCTCCATGAATCAACGTAGTTATTGTTTCAACCGAAGGAACAAATTTCTTACTCTCCATCTCCTCCAAAAGCCTCAAACCATCGCCAAATCGACCTTTCTTACAATAAGCATCAATCCTAATACTATAAGTCACACTATCCGGACTAAATCCACGCTTAACCATTTCATGATAAAACAGCTCAACAGAAGTAATATCGCCGGATTCTTTAAAACCTAGCAACAAAATATTCATACTCTTAGTACTAGCCTTAAACCTATGCACACATTTCACAAAAACTGACCTAGCCTCCTTCATCTGCCTCTGTGTGCAAAAAGCTTTAAGAAGCACATTGAACTCATCAGTACCAAATTCTCTACCAACAAACACATTTTCCTCCATTCTCCTAAACCCATCAAGGGTCTCCTCAAAAGATTGATATTTTGCAATTTTGGATAGCATAATGCTCATTGACTTATGAGTAAGCAAATAAGGGTGTGTTTTAGCAATCCGTTGCAACAAGCTCCAAGCTTTATCGAAGTACCGCATTCTTGTAAGGATGTGGAGGGTGATTTCAAGTGAAGAAGGAGATGGGGTGGAGTGAGAATTGTTGACGGTGAAATTGAAAAACTCCAATGCTTTGAGGCCATTGGAATGTGAAGCAAATAAGCGAGCAAGAACCTTTTCGACGAATGAGGTAGGGACTGTTGTTGATGGAGGAAAGTGATGGAGGAGTGTTGGATGAAGTGGTTTATCAGGGAATGGGTGATCATTGATGATTCTTGCGATTGTGTCTATCTTGTTGTTGATTTCAAGTGTTGGAATATGTGAATATGATTTGGATTGAGTTGTGAAGTGATTGAGTGTGGAACAAAGTAGGTATGAGGTTGTTTTGTTGGGAAATTTTTTAGTGTGGACATGATTTTTGAGGTTAACCAAGAGTGAGAGCATTGTTTGATGAGATGAAAAAGACCCACCATGTGTTTGAAAAAATGCGGAAACGAAAAAGAGAAATTGAAAGATTTGTCTTCAGTTTCTGTGAAATGAAAAATAGGGTAAAGACGAAGAGATGAAGTAAATGGAGAAGCGAGGTGTTGGCGGTGCGGAAGAGCGAGAGATGAGAAGCGAAGAGGTTGGAGTTGGAGGCGCGGAGGAGAGGTTCTGTTGGCAAAGGGACTTGACTCTCCTGCGTTTAAGTTACCCTGTATTCAGTCATGTGGAGTAGCGGTGGCCGTTAGATATCATCGGACGATCCATATTCAAATTTGTAATTTATATCATAGAATCAAAATAAAATATGTAAAATTACACTCACGTGTCACCTCCATGTGCGTTAAAATAGCATCCACGAATCATCTAGTTTTAAAATATGCATTAATTTTTCCTAAATTTATATATATCAAATAAAGTTTTTAATGATCCAAAAAAATCATTAGGTAAATGTTACAAATAATGGATGTCACTAAAAATTAGAGGATTTTAGATCTAAGAGATAAATGTATATTTTAAGATCAAAGAGGATTATTTTAATAAATTTTAGCAGAGGAGAAGTGAGTGTAATTTATCCAAATAAAAATGATAACAAGATTTAATTTAAAATTTAAAATGTATAATATAACATAATTATGGCAAAACTTTAGTTATCATAAAATGAGGTAATTTTTTAAACACGTGTGATTGCTAGACTATTAATAGTAGAGTTGAACCCTTGGTCGGTGTGGATTAAGTTCGGGCTTAATATGTCAATCCGACCCAAGCCATAAATGTAATTCTTAGGTCTAATTTCGACTGAATGTTTATGCGGTTTGATCAAGTTGGATTTAATCATGATGATTCACGTTGGATTCTTATAATTAGGATGTGTTTTATTTGTATAAAGGAAGTTAAAATATATTATCAGGAGTGTGTTTTGAAAAAGGGGGTTGGATGGAGGATTAGTTCATCGAAAAGGGGGTGATGGAGAGCTCAGCTACCTAATATTTTCATGTTCAAGAGAAGGATCTAATGTTTCAAAAATTCCATGCACGCTAAAGACACTACCATCTAGGGTGAACAATTGTCCTGCCAATCAATATTAGTATTAAATTAAAAGAAGATTGTTTGTGGTACATTACACTAATCATCCTCATGAGACTAGTCCTACAAAAAAAAGATTGTTCAAGACTAACAAGAAACTGAACTCACACGTGATGAGAACAATCCAAATCAATGATGAAAATACTCTATTTTGTGAAAAAGACATGAGGAACTATATTAACAAAGAATGTCGTGCAATTGGAAAAGAAGTTGATGGTAACACTTTGATAAGATTTTTATAAAATGAGGGAACAAAATACAATTTTTTCTATGACATAGATTTGGATGATGATTTTCATCTGAGGAATGTATTATGGGCTGATGAAGAAGTAGAGCTACTTACAAATATTTTGGAGATGATGTAACTTTTGACGCAACATACTTGACTAACAAGTATGACATGCCTTTTACTGCATTTATGGGTGTGAATCACCATGTTCTGAGCATCCTCTAACCTTTTTCCTCATTTCTCCTCATCTTGTTGGAGGGACTATAACAGTCGATGGCTATCATGATAAGCATATGTCTGCTCCTAGAGCCTCACCTTTAGGTCGCTAGCATCCTTGTTATACATTCCTTGTTCTACATCTTGAAGCATTAGTGTCCTTAATAAAAATGAATCTTTCATATTCATGATAGTCGATGAGGATTGTGAACAAAGGGCTCAGACTCAGCGGGGAACTCCTTGGAAAAAGGAAGGTGCGAACCTTTGAAGCGGAGGAGGTTAAGACTAACGTCGTTCCACCAGGGTGTCAAATTCTCGCCTCTAGTGGGCTCTGTCCCTTGGCCAACAACAGAAGGGGTTCCTCTCCTAATCGTTGAACTTTAGTCTTTGGTAACTCCGAGGTTGATGTCTCGACCACTCTTTTCTTCCTGCGATGGTCAAACCCCTAAGGTTGGCTTTTGGGACTAAGAACGCTTGGACTATTAGACTTGGTCTTTTCCCATCTCTGTCTGTGCTTATGGGTCGTGGTCTTTGCCATTTGGTCTGCATAAACAAAACAAGGGTCATAAAAGAGTATAAAATACCCAACAAAAAGATCTCACATACTACTTCACCCGCCCTTCGGCTAAGGGACTCGCCTGCTATTTCATTAGCATTTTGCTGAGGGAGTCGCCCGTGAGAAGGGAACGTCGTCACCCAGCGAAACCATTCTTAGTCAAGGGAATCATCGACAGTGCGATGGGCGCACTCTAGAAAGGAGAGTGGTTTTAAACACTTTGTCCTTTAAAGAAAAGTTCTCGTGCTTGAGGGACCGTGTAGTATTATATTTGCTAAAATCCTATACTAGGACGCCCTCGCCCAACAGTTGGACCGCCCATACGAAATCTAAGGTATTCGTCTAAGAAGTCTCGCGAACGTAGGAGCCACGCAAAAGAAAGTCATATCTGACTCTAAGAAGATAGACGGTCAATAATCTCCCTTAGTAAGAGGGGGGCGGTTAAGAGCACGCTCAGAAGGTAAAAACCCTAGGTGGAAACTCCTATTACTCCTTAGGGACATATTATAAGTCACACACACTCCCCATTACTAAAAGAGCACCACGCTCAATACCATAACATATTCCACTAATCTAACCGTTTGTCTACAACCCAGCAGCACCGACCACCTACAAGATCTCTCACCTCATGTGAGCGGGTCTCTTATACTGCCTAAAACAACCACCGTACAAGGCTACTCGCTGTCGTGAGCAAGCCCTCACCATTTAAACATGTAATATACCTACTAGGGTCTTTGAGTCTCCCTGCCCTTATAGAAATGCATTGTCGTAAAATAATTTTACACTGTTATCCAATAAACGACGTACATCCTGTCAAAGTATACTAATATTTTAATAAACTTAAATAATTTGATAGATTGATAGTTTATTATTGAACGAACGTGTAAAATTTCTCTACAAACGATTCATATTTATTAAATTTTATATACTAATTTATAATATTTTCAATTTAGTATACTTTTTTTAGTATATCTTTTTAAAAGAAAATAAAATATATATATTAATCTAAAATAATTATATAATGTGAATCAATCATCTTCTTATATTCCTTCATATCATTATGTAAATTTTAAATTAATAGTATCTATTAGCAAATTGATAAATTTACCACTAAGCTCATTTTTAAAAACAATAGTTACATCGCCAAAGTATGAAATAACTGAAAATTATCAGTCTTCTGATTGACTTCCACGTTGCAGTAAGATTTGGGAGCATGCAGTGGATAAGCCTACGCCTTTAATCTTCCTCTAAAAGTCCACATTTTGCAAATTTGCAGAACACAAAAAGAATAACAAGAACAAGTAGAAGCTTGCAATTACAAATCATGACCTCTGCAACTACAACCTTAACCCTATGCCAGTGTCAATACCAATCTTTTTCCACTTCTTCTCCTCGTCTTCCTGGCAGGGTTACATGCAGAGCCTCTGAGTCTCAGCCTCAGCTTTCAGTGTCCACAGTTGACAAAACCCTCTGCCAAATCAAGAGTTCCGGTGTCATAGCTTGCCTCAGAGCCAATAGGTCCTAACTTTTCCTTTCTTCTCTTATTTCAGTTTTTTTTTAATTGTTTGTTGCTAGAATAAGAAGAGACACCGTACACATGATTGAATAACAAAGTTCCAAAATTGAAGTAGGATTAGTCAGCCTCGATCAACGCCGCCACGTACTACATGTTTGTAGAAATGTTGCTGAATGTTGATGATGAGAAGGGCATTCCCTAATTAAACTTGGAAAAGTTTTCTTCATGTTAAAGGAGTTAGAGAATTGTCCACTCAACTAAGTTGATAGCTGTGCAGAGACATCAGATGCAGCAACGCTAGTTCAAACATGTGACCGCGACAACCCACTTATTAAATTCCAACCACTAGACCATGACAAAAAAATGTTAGAGGTCGGGGTTCAGATCATGATGAAGGAGAACATATTAACATAACGAATCTATTTAACATTTGTCATAGCCATAGTCGATAAATCTTTTCTCATTTTGTTCATTTTGGCTTACATTTTGTTTGTCACTTACATATAGTGCAGAAGTGGCCATGGAAGCTGCAAATGCTGCAATAGCTGGTGGCATTTCAGTTGTAAGTTTACTTTTGATGTTCTTTTGTTTTGACTTATCAATTACTATTTTTTAATAATAAACGAAAGTTCAATGCCATTATATGGAATAGTTTTGTCTAATCCTAATTGTTGAATCGCTTCAGATGCTATTTGGCTATAGAGAGGAAGTTAGTCATCCTTATGCCTTTTCAAAATTGAGTTTAATGGTGATGCAATGTTGGTGTAACTTAACTTTACACCAACATTCAATGAGAGTTCATCGTATTGCCACATAAGTCCACTTTGTAACCACATTTTAATATTATCTGCAAAATACTGAATTCTCATTAGATGGTGGTGTAAAATTAGTTTACAGTGACACTGCATGTTCGCTTTTCTATTAAAAATATATGAATTACTTTGGAGTCTTCTGTTTGAATGTCAAAGTGTAAATCGAAAATTTCCAAGAAGTCAAATAAAATTTTGGAATGGATCAAATTGGTTGTACTTGGTCTGCAGGTTTTGGAAGAGTAAGTTAGGGTAAATTTATTTGCATGAAATAGAACATGTTCAACACTATATTTTAATGGTGTGCTTCTCACCATTTTTGTTTTCTTCACATGTAGTTGGAGATTGTGATGTCTACCCCAGGTGTGTTTGAGGTTGATTGCATAACCTATTTGCATCATCACTTTCAACGTTCTTGAGGTTTAAATTTCATAATATGCTTCTTGTTTTTGTAGGTTCTAGAGAAGTTGGTGAAGGAGCATCCTAGAATAGCTCTAGGGGTATGTTTTTTCGTCCTTCTTTAACAAACGATCGTGTGTTCATTGTTTGCGTTTATCTTTTCGTTAATCTCTTGTACCGAGTTGCTGTTCTCAACAGATATCTGCACTTTAGGTTGGAACTGTTCTCAGGATTGAGGATGCAAAAACTGCAATTAATACAGGCGCTAAATTCCTGATGAGTCCTGCAATCGTTAAGGTTTGAAATTGTATTCATTTACTAAGTAAATGTTTGGTTTTGCGTTGGGTTATCCAAAATCATGGCAAATTATCACGTTCATGTAGAAGCTATTATTTGTCGCTTCTGGATTTTCACGTGGCAATGCTTTGGGACGCGAAAAAATGGATTTGGACGCAGATCCAAACATATATTAAATGTCAAATAATACTCTGTTGTGGGAAATCACACTGTTATTTTTTGAACTGTTATTGTTGATCTAATGGACGAGATTATTGTTTGTCAAAATTCCATTGGGAATTGCTTCATTTGAAGATATACTAGGATTTCTTACCAGTATGAAGTTTTATTTAAACTTGTTTATCAGGATATTTTGGATTATGTTCAAGGTGGTGAAATTTTATATATTCCTGGCGCAATGACTCCAACTGAAGTAAGTGTCATTATTTAGTCTTTCAAAAGTTATGCGGCAAGTTCTACGGTGGATTACCTTGACAGGTGGCGGTCCCCTAAACTTTGACGATGACTGATGTCGGCCCTCATAAGTATAAATGTCGGCCCTTAAAAGTACAAGTTCATGGTTCTCCTTCCTGTAACATTTGAGATATAGTGACTTGATTGGCCTTAGTTTTACAAAAGCATAAGAAAACATATATGCTCACCTCAAAACTTAACTAGTACTTGTTTTTAGTTTTTCCATATTTTTGTCAACCGGGACCGATCAGGTCACTGTCTCATCCGTGAGGACAAAGGACATGAGCTTCTACTTCTAGAGGATAACGTTAGCCGTCGTTAGTTTCTTGAACAATTTTCAAGTATCAAGTTCAGTGCTTTAATGTAGAACTTGCCTATTAATGTTCCATCCATTGCATTTTTTTCTAGCATGCATTCGACCTTTCTTTAATGATCATTGTTTGAAAATGCAGATATTGTCTGCGTATGATGCGGGTGCAAAAATGGTCAAGGTAAGCATTTTCATGTTATAAAGATTCACCTGTACCATTTACTCAGACTTACTTAAGACACTGATAGATTGCATTATATGTTTTAACTTGGTTTTTTCTATGATAGATTTATCCGGTTTCTGCACTTGGAGGATTTCAGTATATATCAGCATTGAAAAAGCCTTTTCCTCATGTTTCAATGGTTGCTTCTCAGGGAATTACAATAGGTAATTTTCTCATATTGAGTTTCACAAGTAGCATTTTAGTTAGCAGATTAAGTTAACTCCATTGTCATAATTTACCTCTAATTGCTTTGTAGATTCTATGGAAGAATATATTATACGAGGAGCATCATCAGTTGTTTTGTCAGATGCTATATTTGATAAAGAGGCAATGTCTCAATGTAATTTCAGGAAGATATATAAACTTGCACAATCTGCTACCTTGTTGGGTAACCAAGCTGTGAATAGGTGACACTCCTATAAATATAAATCAATGTTAAATTTTCTTGAGAGAGAGATTTACCACCTATTGTAGTTTTTTCAACCGCGCAGAAAATTTTTTATTTTCTAAAAAAGTGGGTTTCAAAACAAAACACTCTGGATACTGTTGACTAGTGTGAGTGTGTGTGAGAGTTGGGAAAAATCAAACATAAAAGAAAAAAGACGAACACAATCACAACACAAGAATATAACGTGAAAATTCCAAAATCGAAGAAAAAACTACGGTCATTGTCAATAGATAACCAGAGAATAACACTGAAAATTGTTACAACACATAATATATCCTCAACTAACCTAGACCTTCAGTACACCCACACCCTCTAAAACTAATATTTAATTACATATCACAACATTTTAAAACAAGAGTATAAGAGAACAAAGAAAGTCAAATACATCTTGAAATGAAGAACTTGAATCCAATATATAGCATTGGACTCTCACTTCCTTTACAAAACTAAGTGATGACAATCATACTACACCATAAAGAGTATCAACATATATATTCTCAGCTAACTCCAACAATCTCTACCTTGATTGAAAATAATACATAAATTTTCATTGTCTTCATTGACAATCATATTCTACCATAAAGAGTATAATCATTTGAAACTACACCACTCTAAGAATTTTTATATTGTCTTTCACCGACAATTATTGTTTTAAAAACTATCATAAAAAATATATTTCACTTGAAGATAAATCATTTAAGAATTTCACATTGTCATCACTGACAATCATATACTTTATCGTAAAAAATAAATTTCACTTGAAGGAAAACCACTCCAAGAACTTCACATTGTTTTCGCCGACAATTATAGTTTTCAAAAAACTATTATATTCTCTCATGAAAAATATATTTCACTTAAAAATAACCACTTCAAAAATTTTACATTGTCAAATAACCACTTCAAAAATTTTAGATTGTCGTTGCCGACAATCAGCAGATTGTACATGCTAGCAAATAGACATATAGTCTGTTAGGATTGGCGTTTAACTTTTTTTTATTGCATCCCAATGCATTTTCAAATGCAGAAATGAGAAGCTACAGAGTGTAGCTTTTAGTAGACGTGCGTTTTCGGCTATTTCAAACGCGGAAACAAACAGGCTAATAGTAATTGGTGGCTTGATTACGTCAAATATTGAGTTCTCGGTTAAGAGCTAGATCTTTCTAAGCTACACAAAATTCTAGGATTGATTTCATGAAATATATGACAAACTCTTTCGTGTTAAAGATTAAATGTTACTTTAACAATGGTTGTGTTTATTTAAGACTAACAAAATACGACAAGATCACTCAAAATCATTATTCAAAATTATAAGGACTTTGAATGAAAGAATTCTATTTTCATGATATAAAAAATGTTATCTTCGAAAATACAAGTAGTCGAAGATACAAATGCGATGATACAAAAGTTATTGAAACATAGAAAGATATTTTAATAGTGATGTGACAAGACACTATTCATTTTATGTCATAGAATATAAAATGAATAGTGAGACTTTTTACTATTTTGTCTCGATTTTGAAATTAATTTTTTTATTTGCTTCAGTTTTAAAAAAAAAATTTCTGGATTCTTAGTTACTGCTCAACCAATGAAATGAAGAACAAATGCACAAAAATTCATCATGTGTGTGATCCGCTAACGAATGGCTGAGCGTGTGAATATTTTAATATTTTTGTCATAATTTTGTTTATTTAATGTTTTAAATAATTTTAATAATAAATATAATTATAAATATAATTTTTTCTATATTTTATAATATTATATAATATTTAAAAAAAATTAACTATGATTTTTTATTTTTAAAATAATTATTAAAATAATTTATTAAATAGATTGTACTAATTATTTTAATCACTTATGACATTTAATGGTCGAGTAAAGTCACCGTTAAGAGACCCTCGACCAATGAATGGTCGAGTTTGCATATAATATTTTTTTTATAAGTAGCTTGATGTGTAGAAACATAACTCATCTCACATTCCATTTTTAAAAATGTATGTTTGGGGTCTTGTGTTCTATGAATAAGACAACAAAAAATTCGTGTTTTCTTAGATCCACAATAGAATTTCAAAACACTGATTGTAGCCATCAACATGGATTTTTGACAGTTGGGTGACCGTCGTATGAAGGTGAGAGAAGTAGAGTATCATTGTTCATACATAACATTGACTGATGGAAGCCATAAGGGTATGTACATGTATTACTTGGATCGTATAGAAAATGATGAAGATGTCCAGTGTAAAAAAATTCGTGTTTTCTTAGATCCACAATAGAATTTCAGAACACTAATTGTAGCAATCAACATGGATTTTCAACAGTTGGGTGACCGTCGTATGAAGGTGAGAGAAGTAGAGTATCATTGTTCATACATAACATTGACTGATGGAAGCCCTGAGGGTACGTACATGTATTACTTGGGTCGCATAGAAAATGATTAAGATGTCCAGTGTATGTTTTCAGCATATAGTGGCGAAGTTAACAGAGGAGTCGAAGATTCACTTGTGTTGGTTGTTGTTGTTGATTAGTTTGCTAAGACGCTTTTTTGAATTTAACTTGGTGTGATTGTCTTTAATATTAACTATATTCCTTATTGCATGAAGATGCTCGACCATCCCTTGGCAGAACTCAGACATCCATTAGTCGAGCAGTGGAATAATTTATTATTTTTCTATTTTCTATAAATAACTTTGTGTGGCAACCTCTAAGTCTCATATTATTTACACTCATTTCATCATTTTACTCTGAAATATTTCTTCAAGAATGAAGTATTTTACCAATCCAAATGCTTCTTTTATCAAAAGAGTTGCTCAACTGTTTTTCAGAAATAAAACCTCCGATAAAGATTTGACTATGGAACACAGTGACATTCAAGCATTTTCAGAGAAGCCTGGTGAGTTGGTTAGATGGTGAAATTGTTGACATTGAAAAAATTAGAAGAATTGCCAGGCTTGTTAAAAATGGAGAAACACAATCTTGGAAAGTTGTTAAAAACGACTATGATGTTGTTTTGATGATGTATGAACCAACAAATATTGTCTCGATAATTGTAATCTCCTAGACATGTTGATGCGTTTAATCATTTTATTGTTTATCGTCTTGTTGTTTTATGCGCGATTTCTTTATTTTGTTGTTGTTGCTGAAAGTTGTCTTGAATATTAACTGAATGTTGAATTACAAAGATATGAAATGAAAGATAAAACCTTGAATAAATGATTAACTAAAAAAACAAACAAAATCATCTAGACGGGTGTAATACCCTGTATTTTCTAAAATACTCTAAATAATATTAGTTGAGATCAACTAACTCTGGTGTGCTCTAAGAGTTATCAGTTGGGATAACTAGAGTAACTGATGAGCTCAGATTGACTTGATTAATATTATTTAAGGCTGACCTTTTATTATTTGATACACTTGAGACATTTTGATAACATCAATGTTGGACATTTTACCAATCAATACTCGTTCTTCTACCACACAAGACATTTTGGTCTTACTAACTTAATGATATTTTTTATGTATCATTTCATTTCCCTTTGCCATTTCAAATTTGTGGGAAAAGGCTTAGAAGAGAAAAATAGTAAGAGAGGGAAATAGAAAGAAAGTTAGAAAGAAAATAGAAAGAAAGAGGAGAAAAAGGGAAAGAAGAAGGAAAACCTAGAAGAATAAGAAAGGGAAGTTCTTCATAATTCATCATCAACATCATCTTATCTTCATCATCCATAACATCTTTATCTTCATCTTAAGGTGGATTCTAGGTAGATACTCTAAGTTACGGTTGATAGGTAGAAGATTGTGATATTGGAATTGGATATGTTTGGCTTCTAATTCCATGAATGTTCTACAAATGTTGTTGTTCATGTCATATATGTGTTGGAATGTTCCTTGGGTGTGGTTACTAGTTAGTTTTGGGACTTGTATGGAATGGGATTTGAAATCCCCCTTGTTACTGTCTGATTCTGGAAGTCAGTATGCAGAAATCGACGAACTCGCACAACGAGCTCAAAGCGACCTACTTTTATGCTACAGTCATTGTGCAAGCTTATGCAAACTGAAAGCGAGCATCTCGCCTTGCGGTCGCCGAGTGGCGTTTTGTTTCTGTCTGTCCCTCGCCTTGAGATTGTTGTACAAACGCAAAACGACCATCCTCGCTTTCTCGTTGTTAGGCGATGATGACATGTTTTTGTCAATTTGTTTGAGATGCTATACTTGTTTGTTTAGCCATACTATGAATCACTTTATATGGATTATGATGGTTAATATGCATGTCTTCTGTCCATGAATAGTTTCTTGCGAATGTCTAGTAACATGATTAAAATGAGTAAGAATGGTGAGAAAACCTTAATGGAAAACTAATGAAATGAAGTAATAATATGATTAGGACATAATGGATGACTTAGATGATAATGCTTGTGAATTTTATTCCTAGGTGTGTATCTTGGCAAGTAGTTGCTTAGTGGAGATGTGAGGCATTATATGGAACACGTATGGTATTTGTGTTGATTGTAATTAAGGTGAACGTGTTCGCCTTGTGGTTGTTGAATACGGTCACAGTTTGTGTATTTAATCACGTAGTCAGAAACAACCCTTGAGATGTGTTGTCCCAAGAGTTGATATTTATGTATAGCTCCTTTAGGATGTACGCACTATTACTTTGACAAGTTTGAGTCTCGTGTGTACGAATAGAGACTATGGGTAAAAAAGGCTTGAGATGGAGGGGGTCTCATGGAAAGCGATGATTCATGTGGAAAACACCTTGAATCCAAATCCATTTTGTATATCAAAGTAGATACAAGGAACCGTGACCCGTGTCGATAACTCTAGACGTTGGGTTGCCCGGGGAAAGATGCCTTGGTATGGTTTCTAATTAGTGATAGCTTGAGTTGTTGAACTCATGCGACATGTTTCCATATAGTGCAAGTATTATGAATTCAAGTCTCCTCCCTTTTTCCCTTTGAGACTTGAAATA